CCCCTTCTGTAACCATTATACTTCAGTCATTACATATTGGTAAACTACTCTTTGAAGGTAAGTATTACTCCTAGTTTGGTGTATTTTATATTATCTCCCGAATGTAGCGTTTCTTTGTTCATTGATTGGCTGATTTGCTTGGTTAGGTAATTATGGAAAAAGCTATGAATATTTTTTTTAACCACGTGTCTCTAAACCCAAATATATTTTTGTGTTGTTCGAGGTTATAATCCAGATTTAAGATTCCTTCACATTGTGAGGTAGGAAGATGAGCTGCTTAGCAGAGCTCTGTGTTCTCCTAGTGCTTTATAATATTTGTTTTAAAAAATGTCTTAGTGGGAATAGTTAAAATAAGAATTACAAAAATAGTTGGACGTCACTAAAACAATTAGATTAAAAGAATTGGATCAAAACTGATAAAAGTTTATCTATCAAATCAAAACAACCAGATTTCGCCAGTTACAGACTGAACATATTGCTGCATATCGAGAATAAAATTAAACCACAATAATTCTTATACTATTTGTGCAACTGACATGAAATTGCATGATGTTTTCCTCATATAGGTGAGGCTATAGAAATAAGTCCCTAAAGATGACTGTGGTAGAAAATAGACTTGGTGAGGTCAGCAACTATAAAAACCAAACGGCTGAAGCTGTTTTCTCTCTGATCAAATGAAGTGGATCAAATGAAAGAGGATCTCTGTAGGGAGACAAACTAAGGCAGAGGATTCGCTGTGCCTAACAAGTGAAATCCAACCTATCAAAGTCATGCAGCGCTGTTGTTCATCTAGCAAATCACCCCAGTGAGAGGTGGCAGATGTTGCTGATGTTGAGTCTGCCTGCTGTGAGTTTGTGTGTACATTCATTCTGTTTGTTTCCAGAGGAGACTGTGATAGTGCTGGGTTATCAGCGACCCTCGGCAACAAAGCATCCACCTGTTGATAGGCAGAGACTTTGTGTCCTTGGTTCCCAGCTCTACGAAATCCTTTTTCCGGGATGGAAATGTAATATGGGAGTTAACTGAGCTATTCATAGCAGAAGAAAGCCCTGGAATTTTCCACCCAAACACCCAAGGATTTGGTCATCACTCACGTCTGACCAAGGGATGGACAGAGAGTTCAGTCACTGAAAACCAGCTGATGTTTGGCAATACAGCTCTTACATAGCAGATGTTGCCCTCTAGTGGCAACATCTTAAAAATCATATACAAGAATTTAGCAGAGTATGCAAGCTTAAGGGGATTTAAAATACTTAAATAGAGTACTTTCCTTTTTACCGATAAAAAACGTTAATCTTGAGAAATAATTGTTATATTTGCATTCATACCTGTACTTCTTCTTTTTTTTTTTTTTTTTTTTTTGCCATAACACAGTTTGGGATGTCTTTTTTTTTTTTTTTTTTTTTACAACTCATACCTGTACTTCTGAGGTTCAGTTATTCGACTGGCATGCCATGCATCAAGGCAGCAAATGTTTAGAATGCATTACTGAAAAATGATTTAATCTTAAGTCTCGGTCTAGTCCCCATTTTACCACAGGGGATGATGGAAATCAACTGTGGCAACTTTTTTTATATATATATATATATATATATATACATAGTATAATATGTTTTTTGTGTAAAGATAAGCTTTTCGAAACTTGCTATCAGTGGTATCCAAACTTTGATGATGAGGGAAAGAATATTCATGCAAAATGCACTAGCAGGTCATTAAAAAAACTCTCTATGCACTTCATTACCAACTAAAAGGCAAAATGTAAATGAAACAAACAAAATAGAGTGATTTTGTAGAAGAAGGATATGTAGATCCCTGTAGATCTACATATAAAGCACCAGGCATATATGAATGTTTTCTAAGGTCTGTTTCTGGGTGAAGCTTTTTGGATATTTGTGGTTCTTTACTTGTTATGGAATGAAAATGGATGCAAAAACCTGGTAAATGAACGACACATTTTAGGTGTTTTAATAAACTTTTTTTTAGCTCTTTTAAAGGAGCAATAAGTAATAATTTATTTTAGATAGAAAGATCTAAAAACAGTGATCTCAAGAACTAAAGGTATCTTTCTAAATGCATTTTATGGACGTACATGTATGTGCAGGACTGCAGCACATGCATGTACGTCCATGTGAATAGCTGCCACTAACAGTCTCCCAGAGAGAGAGCTCAAAGAGTAAGAGTACAGTGGAGGAGAGCTTTTAGATAGCAAACTTTTAGATAAAAAAAAAATGTCCATCTAAATCAACTGTCTGCCTAAAGCAGGGTTTATACAGGAATGAGTAACTTTCATGTAATGCTTTTTAATGCTCTTTTAATATTCCTAGTAATAATTTTAATGCCATTAACAAGTACCCACTTTTGTTGAAATTTGTATTTCCCCATTCTCTCGCTTTTTTTCTAGCTTTTTCTCTTAACTGGTGCTAAAACCCTTACCTGGTTATAGCACCAGGTATGGGTGCTAAAACTTAAAAAATGACTAAAGCAAACTCCTGCTACACGCAGCAGCAGCTAGTCAAAGTTTAAAGCAAATTATTAATTTATGGCCTAAATGCTTAATAATGAACCAATACAAAGGTGTATGTACAGGACGGCGGGGAAAAAATGGGACTTCTGGACAATAATATATTTTAAAATTAAAACCTGGCAAATAATTGCATCTGTGCTATAATTACAATTTAGAAAAACAAAAATTTGAAATCTCACAGTCACACAATTTTATTTATATTTCATTTCTCAAGCATAAAACATTGCATTTCTCCCTCTAGCCCCTTAGTTTGCTGTAATATACTTAATGTGGGTTTGCGGCCACAAAGAAGGGAAGAGAAAGTTGCAGATCTATGCATGCAAGAAGTCAGCTCTTTTTGACACAAAAGTAAAAATCAGGTTTTTAGGGTCATGAAAAATGGAAACCTTGGTGTGAAAAATCTACAAGACAAATCTAAATAAAATCACATTTGCAATATTGGTTAAAAACAATTGGAATTTGGATTTTTGGACAATTGTTCAGCCCTATTTAATCTTAAGCTCTCCACCACCTTCCTATCAATAAATCTGAACCTGAAACGTTGTCTTTGTATTAGAATAATAATTTTTTCGGCAAATCCTGATAATTCCGTTTAACAGTGGGAATAAATATGGGAAAAAAAATATGCATGTGTTGATGAATCCTGTTCTTGACTTGTTCATAGCTCCTTTTATCGCACAGAACAGCTGCAGTAGATGATGTTTGCAACAAATATTTGGTTTTAGAACACAAACAGGCTGGTGCGGTCTGATAGAAGTGGCCTACATCTGGTGCTCAAAGCAGGCTGGGAGAAGCACAGGACTCAGCCAAGCGGCTAATTGAGAGGCCTCAAATGACTGCATGGATGGGGAGACTTCTTAAGTTATTTATTACTGCGCAAAGCACACAGGCTTCCTCAGCAAAGATTGTAAAATGCCTGTCAGAGAGAGTTACTGCTTAAGATATGTGGTTGCATCCTTTTAAACAGAAAAAAAAAAACCCAAAAGCTTCACCAAACGTCTAACTAATATTTACATGAAGTAATAATTGTAAGTATATTCAATTTATTCACAGGGACAAACCTGCTCACACATAGTGTCATATGATGCCTTGTAAAAGCTCGAATTTGATCAAATTCAAGATGTCAAGTTGTTGGAAACCTCCATGTGCGAGTCAGACACTAAAATGTTAGAATGCAGTGCGTCTCTGTTTATAATTTTGATGGGACAGTTAAAACATGTCTACAGGAATAAAAACCTCTCGAAAAATGTATAACATAAATTTCAGCACAAATCTAACTGTTTTGATTTGGATGTTTGAAAACTAATGCAAAGTTCTACCCTCTATATAGTCATCACACTTACTAAAAAAACAAAAACAACAAAATGAGGTCATTATATGCAGAAACTTTGGTAACTTTGCCTGAATATAGTCCAGTTTTTTTCCTGTAGCAAGTTCAGACTTTTCGTTTTTCTTTAAGATGATCCCCAGCTCCTAACCTGAGGTGAGGAACATCTATTAAGCCAAAAAAAAAATAAAAAATCAGAAGGAAGAAACAGAAACTGTTTTTTCAGGTGGGACCTCCACATCAAAACAATAAATAATACAGTAGTAGGCTAAAAATACCGTACAGCTTATTTAAACATAAATCTTACCTAACAAAACCTTAACTACCCTTCTTTAAATCAAAATTACTAAATAATTTCTTAAAACATTAACAAGTGATAAATTGATGTATAACACTGTAAGCACCAACTCCAGAGACTAATTAGCTACTTTCACACAATGGTTCTTAATGCTCAATTTTGTGATTTTTAGCTGAAATCCAATCCTTTTGCAGATTGACGTCAGACAGCACTGCACTGTTTATGTAAATCATGATGAATGTAACTGTCACTAGAAGAGCTCAATAAAGCTTAGTTGAAAATAACAAAAAATCATGGTGGAAGTTGGTCTCTAATGTTTTTATTACACTACTATGCACAGGGAGCCGACAGCATCATGATCCTATCCTCAACAAAGAAGACAGGTAAGAAGGAACTTTGCACAACTAATTAAAAACAGCTGTTTACAAAGCGCAGACGAAAAACAGTTACATTTGAGGAAAACGATCTGAATTGGGCGTCATTTGCCAACAAAGTGAACATAGATTTAGATTATCTTGTGTTATAAAATAGAAACCATTTCATTCAAACTATCAGTTATACTTCAAGCTGAGAGATATTTAATATCGATCAGTCCATACAGGGAGACACAAGCATGTTAAATATCAAATATGCAGCATCAGCCAAAAACCAACCACTTTAGTTCTCCTTAAACCTCAAATACAACAGATACTGTAGTCATTAGTTATGAATGGGGAAAATGTCTTTATAAACTGCATATATTACTACATCTCAGCACACACACACATCTGTGTAACTGTCTGACTCCACCCTCGTTAATAACTGATAATCCCTGCTCTCTCTCTATGGGACCCCCTTTAATAAACACTCACCAGGGCTGGTGTTGCTCTGTGGGCTTCCTCTCTTTGGAATCTGGGATTTAGGTTTAGGCTTCCCCTGTCCATCACTGTTGGAGTTGGAAGATGACATCCTAATACCTGAGCTCCTGTTACTATAAGAGCAGAGCGAGTCTGAGCTGTGAAGTGAGGGGCAGAGGGGAGCACCGGCTCTGCCGCTGGAGCTCAGTCTCACGGTGTGGCGGTGGAGTAGCAGGACCCACGCTGGGTTGGTAACAGCTCTGCTGCAAAGTTGGCTCCTCCTCCTTTCAGTGAGCAATGGGTCAGCAGGCGTGCAGTGCAGCGATGCACTGAAAGGCCGCCCAAGGCTTTCCCCGATCCTGCAGGGGACCATCCTCCTCGGTTGCCTTAGCAACCAGGGAATGAGCTTCCCATAGGCAACGTGGTGAAATATAACCACAGAAGAGGCCATCGTAAAAGAAGTCGTGCTGCTAGCATGACAGCCAGCAGTCCTGGTGACCAACTGAACCCCAGCAGCTCAGAGCCAAGGTGAGTGGAGGACAAAAGTTTTTCCACTTGTCTAAACTTAGAAGTTAGATCCAGTAGGTATCATAAGAACGCACCTATTTAGCCAAGAGAGAAAAAAAAAAAAAGGAGATTGAGATGAAAAATAGGACACTTAAAAAAAGCCAAAGAGAACAAAACGGCAGAGAATAAATACGCTTAGAAACCTGCTTAGTATGTAAGCTAACTGGTTAAGTCTGTATCTCCTCCCAGCTGGAAAATTCTGAGGGGCAGCAGACACACACACTCAGAGACACACAAACACAGCACAGGCCTTCCTGACAGGGGTGTTTTAAAAATAGTGACAGCCAATGCACAGAGAGGGACAGAAACACAACCTGAGACAAGTTACAGTAGCACACAGACAACTTTCTAGGAGCACAATATCATTCATCAAACTCTTTGACTAAAACGGTAGTAAACGCATGTCAGAGTCTGGAAAATTTAAAAAATAAATCTTCACTGACAGATTTTCACATCAATATATCTTACTTACATAACTCTGCCCCCCCTCAGGTCACGCTACAAAACTACAGACCAGCCTTTTAAAATCCAATTCATTTCAATGGAACCCTATCCGTTGATCTGTTTGCATGTATTTTTTTTTTTGGTTTTCATTAATTCAAAACATCATATAAACTATAAACTTCTTTTTCACACAACACATGACAGTAAATGCTTAATGTATCAGTACTCTTATCAGCCAACTCAAAAGCTGGTACTCAAGACAGAAGACTTTTAAAGATGCAAACTATGAGGCGATGACAGGATTACTGTGCTCTCTAAAAACGTTTGATTATATCATTAACATGAAGACCTGGGGGAGAAGAGACCTAAAAAAAGAGCAAAGATACCCATCTAGTGGTATAAAAAACTAATGCACCTAGGGTTCTGTCTTTGCACAATCATTTTACATCTTGACTATAATAAATACCAGTAACAGCAACCTTGCCTTTAACTTGCTTGTAATCACCCAGGAAGAGAGCATTTAATAATAATAAAGCATCATAATAATAACAATAAAGCATAATAATAAAGTATGTAAGCAGATGATATCAAAGTTCTGCCCAATCAGCATTCACAGCCAAAGTGTTTAAATGTTTACAAAACTGTACACACAGATTTAGACAACCTCTTCTTCATGAAAGCTGTAATAAAACTTAGATAAAGCCGAGATGTACTAATACAGTCATGTGATCAAGCAAGGACTGAAAATAAAAGCTTTCAATCATATAAAAATAATCGCCAATAAACTGTTTAAATTAGATTTGAAACGGATGTTTATAAACAAAAATGAAACGTGACATTTTTAATTTCAGAAACATATTCTGACAAGAACACCAAGTTGAAGAAACAATCTATATATTATTTTCAAGATCAAATAAATGTTCTCCTGCCTGTTCTAAAATCTGATCTATTTTTTTTTTTTATAAAATCTGGTGTAGCAACAACAATAAAAACACCCCACAGACCTACTTTTGTCTAAAATAAAAAAATGTATACACTGCAGTTTGGCCTTATATAAGTGAATTAAATATATAATTAATCACGCTGTAGGAAATAAATTCACTAAGATTTGTGAAAACATGCTTTTCTTTTCTTTTGCTTAGAATGAGACCACTGTGTGTACCGCTGCAAGCGAACTAGTGTTTTCTTATTCTTTTAAAGTACAGTGAATGCATTATTGGTAAAATAATAAATTAATTAATAAAATATTGGTAGAGACCAACAGCAAAGAGAAGGAAAAAACTGTTTGCTTTCTTTCTCCAAATCGTCTCCCCTCAATATTTTAAAACCCGAAAACTCTCGCACTTTATCAAATGTAAGCAAGGTTTTTTAGCTGTTGTTGTTTTTCTAAAACATAGACTTAATGTGTTGTTGTCCCTGCTTGTTGCAGCCATTTCTGGCTGCTAACTGCATCACTGTAACAGTGTTTGTTCACAGGTTTATGACATTTTTAACATTTGTTAATATCTCATCTCCTAGAGACATATTCAAATTCCTTTCAAGACAGTTTTTGGCTATTAGTACCCACAAATCCTTTGCAAGCAACAAATGTTATTTTTTCATACTTAGATTTGGGTTTCTATATCCAGGTAAAGTGCTTAAATGTGAATTTTGAATAATAAATCAGTCAGTCTTTGGGTCATACAACAAAACACTGACAGAAAAAAAAATACTGAACTGAAAGTCTGATAAGGTATAATAAAGATAACACAAGCTCCTCTTACGACTGCTTCATTAATGACACTTTGTCCTGCAGAAAATAAAAAAGAGGAAAAAGAAAATCTGGAAAGTCTGATAAAAAACAAAATCCATGTTCTTTGGTTAATTATAAATATGAGACACATCTTCCTGTCATTTCTGAGCATTTTGACAAATAAATTTGACCTTTAACTAATTAAGCATAAAGATTTGTTATAGTAGGAATGCAGAATTTTGAACATTAGAATAATTAACAGGTTATTTATAGGATGTGTGGATGCTAACATACCGTCTGACATGGTTGAGATTAGCTGGGGACTCAGAGAGGCTCAAATATATAGGAGATCTCCTGAAAACACGAGAAAGAGAAATAATAAACAACTTTGGCGTGTGAAAGTTGACATTATAGTGATTTATACAGAGTGTAAGTGTCCACAGAGGCTGTACAGTAGTTGGAGGCTAAAACCAACAGAAACTTTGAACAAAGGAACTGGACAGTTTTTCTACATTTTTCATTTAGCTAACGTTGACGTCATACTGGCTAGCTTAACTTTAACTTAAATATCCTAAAATAAAATAACTTCTACTGCTCTGGCGCTAAAGAACTGTCATTTCTAGAATGCTCTCCTTTAAAAAAATGAAGCATAAGAAAACAAACATGCAGCCAGGTGTGTAACAGTGAGTTCATCCAGGCCGTTACCTCAGTGTTTTCCACCTCAGCTCAGCAGCTTCCTGGGCTTTTGTCTCTTTTTGTTTAGACGAAGCTTCAGTTTCCTTTCTGGGAGAAATGAAGTTGTAGTTTTTAAGGAGCCGCCCCAGTTTGTCTCTTAGAGGTTCAAAGGTTGATTTAAACACACCCAGAAACACAGAGGAGGCTGTCCTGCCAAATTAGATAAGGTTTTATCTACAGTAACTGCTCTACTGGGAAAAGGCTAAACTATGAACAGGACATTTCCCGAGATACTGCGACACGATACTGGATCAGATACATAGATATATAGTTATAGATAGTTGAAACTGTTAATGCGAGACGTGTGAATGATTTGGTGAATATCTTTATTTTAAAAATGGGCTTAATGTAACTTGTGCTTATTTATCATCTATCTATCTATCTATCTATCTATCTATCTATCTATCTATCTATCTATCTATCTATCTATCTATCTATCTATCTATCTATCTATGTTTGTATCTGTACATGTTTGTATCTATATATGTGAGATTATATACATGCCATTTTTTTTTTCGTTTTATGGTCAACAAGTGTGAACAAATCTTTATTTAAGACTATTTGCATATTTACATGAAAAAAACAGCAAATAAGAACCACCTTTATGATAACGAGAGACAATTTTCCATTTCTCTTTGCCTGATTGTTCTTATACTTTATTTACACCCCACCCCTATAGTAAGTCAGATAATGTATAACTTGCATGACAATGACCATCTAGCTGCTCCTGATTATTTCAAAGTTCAGCTGGTGGACTGTCAGAAAGAAAAGAGCTGAGTCAGGGCTGTTTTAGAGTGAAGTCCAACAACGTAGCTTACACTGCAATTTACTCAAACCTTTGGAGATTTGTAGCAGCTTTTATTCACAATGACAAAGCAAAAGTTAAAAAGACTCACTGTTACTTGAAACTGCTAGATTTGGAGAAAAAAAAATTCCTTTTATAAAAAAATGATTTCCATGGTAATTAGTTTCCCCAATTTCCAAAAATACAGCAAGTTGTCTCCTGAAACATTTTCCTAGATTTGGCAAATACTGACCGATTGTTCAAGTTCTCCCCTTTTGGGACTCTGAGCTTTTAGTTTTCAGTTATTAGTTATTCTGTTTTGTTGATTTTTGTTTTATTTTTCATTATATACAAGCAGCCTTTAGTTACTCTCTGTTGCCCCCTTTTGCTTGTTTCCTTTCCCCTTGGCTTCCTTCTAGTTAGTTCAACTCACACCAGCTCCATATTTAACTCATTAGCCCACCCTTTGTTTGTTCCCCTTATATACCCTACCTCTGCAGTCACTCAGTGCTGGTTTGTTGTTGTTGTTAGTTGCTTCCTCATCTCTGGTTCCCCACTTGAGTTTTCCCTGATGTTTTTTGGTTCTCTGTATTTTGCATTTTTAGATGTCTGCCTCAGTTTTTTATCAAATCAACAAGAACTCATCTCTGCTTCACTCATGTCTGCATTTGGGTCCTCAAGCAACCTCCCCCCATTGTTGACACCAATACACCTTCCTCCATTCTGGGTCTTCTCTTCTGCTCTCTTCTCTTCTGCTAACCTCATGTCTTTCATGTAGGATTTAGGTGTGTTGACTGAGATTTCTAAGGAGGAGGGCTGATTTTGTGCCTGATGAATCCCTGATTTGCCCACAAGCTTTAAACAATTGCAATGCTAAACAAAGTAATTTTCAGTTTTCTAACACTAGATTTCTCTATAGAACATCCTTGTATTTTCAAGAATTCATCATAGTCTAAGACGGTTCACAGAGTCTTGGTTTTTGAAGTAGCCCCACAGCATTACAGATCCTCCACCATGTTTAACAGTAGACAGGAGCTATTGTAAGTTCCAACATATTCCTACATTGTTTCAAATCCATCCTACCTGGTTTATTTTTAGCCTTATCTGACCAAAGCACACTGTCCTAGTTAAAATCTCAGTAAAGTGCATTGGACACATTACACATATTTACAATTGCAACTAGAAGGAATTAAGCTGACAGAGTTTGTAGTACTGTTTTTCTTAGCATTACTACCCCCTCAGTTGCAAGGTAAAATGCTGATTAATGTTTTAGAGATTTCTGCTCCTTAACATCCATGCTGTTTGGACAATAACACTAATATTTGACCGATCTGGACTTATATAGTATAAATAACATTCAGGATTATTTAACATTGAGCTTGCTCTATGCCTTTGTTTCCCTTAAAACACAAAGCAATTAAAATATATCAATCACTTATGTCAGATTGTGGTTTTTTGAGCATTAAACCCAATGAACAGTGCTGTTAATTTTTCTTTACTTTGCTTTTAAAGAGCAATACTATAATTGTAAAAGTGTCCGAAGAAAAGCTGATCTGCACCTTATAAGCAAACACATTCTGATCTAGAATCTTGAAGAAATTCAATCATTGAGATCTATAAATTTGATAAGATTTGATATATAACCTAAATTTCCCATTAACATTCAAGTACTTTTTTGCATTATATAAATAGTTATGTGCAATATGTTCTGTTTTTTATTTTATTTTTTTTTAAGATTTTGATTTTCATTCATTTGGACTGCTCTATCACTTACACAAACAAGTCACTATTAAGCTTAAATAAATTAGCAAGTGTTTCTCCATCTACAAAACAAATGCGGGTCACATTTTTCTGTTGAATATTCCTCATGTTTGGCTTTGTGACTCCAGGGAGTAGTTGATGAAAAGCACTAGAAAACCTGGTCTTTAAGAGACATTTATAACAATCTAGTGACCTTGTGATTTATGGTAATGTTGAGCTGAATGTTTACTGCAGCCTAGTTTACAGCTAATACTTTAGCTCCCTAACAGCCACCTTGTTGGAGCTGATGTATGTCTGCTGTTTGTCAAACTTTTTTGTCTTTGATATTTATTTTCTTCAAAACTATCAAAGTAATGGAAACATTTTATAATTAAAGAATAACATAGGAAAATTCAACAGAAAAATGTGCCGGCATTTGTTTTGTAGATGGAGAACCAACACTTGCTAATTTTAATTAAGCTTGATAGTGACTTATATGTATAAAGGATCCAGCGGTCCAAATAAATAAAAATCAAAATCTTTCAAAAAAAAGTAGAACATATTGCACATAACTCTTTATATAATGCAAAAGTACTTGAGTGTTAATGTTAAATTTAGGTTAAATATCAAATTTGAATTGGGGCACATGTCATTTTTGATCCATCAAGGAAAGATATCACAGAAATATTCAAAATATGGCTCTAAGAATTTAGATTTTGTTAAATTTGTAGAAGAAAATTCACACAAACAGTCCTGATATTATGATAGCATCAAAAAGTAAAAGCCATCCTTGTTTTTTATATAAATAGCATATTTGAAGAAGTCCAAAGTGAGTCTCTGGGTTCCCAAAAGAGCAGGCTCCTCCTCCCACCCACAACAGTGATGAGAAATGTCACTAGGTAAAAATTGCCATGGGGATAGCAGTCTGCTGAAGATGGAGGCGGTTTGACTGAGGTCCATCACTGAGGTGTGAGGCCTGTCACGCACCAGCTTCTTCGAAATGAGACACTGGCACGATGGATTTGATTAGATAGAGTATCTCCACATCTTTATTTATTTTTCTCTGATGAAGGTCACAGCGTGACTTTGCCCTTTCAAGCTTAAATGTTACCTTAAGGTCAAATTGTTTGAACTGAGTCCTCCCGCCAGGTCTCTTTTCTCTGAGATATCTATGTGAAGCCCAGAGATTAAGGGGAACACAAACAAGTAGGGAATTTAGATATAGTATTTCCCCCTTCAAAGATGTATGATGTCTTGCTGCTTTAAAGATTTGAAATGATTAAATTTTAGAGCAAACAAAGATTTTTGTGAGCCTTTTTCAAAATATATAATTTTCTTAACAAAAAAGCTTTTGACCAGACCCCTTTTGATAGAGCAGTCAGCACCTTTTGTAATTTACCTGTTTATTCATTAGGTATTGATACATTTAATTTGATATTACTAACCACAGGCAGGTTTGATCACTGCCTCATTGTAGAAATAAAGGAAAAGCTTATATAGAACCTATTTGACAACATGAAGTAAGGCAGAAAATCAATAAGCAACAGATCATCCCCTTATTTAAAAAATTGCAAGTACAAAAAAAAGCTTTATTCCACATCTATCAATCAGGTTAACAAACCATTTCTAAAACGTTGGGCTCTCCAGGGGACTGTGGTGAGACAAAGTGTAGAATAGAACATGGACCAGTGGAAAACCTTACCTGAAGTGTTTTTCATACCTAATCATATAAAAGGTAAAATAAAGCCAGAACAAAGTTCCTGCCTAAACAATAGAGAAACTGAGCAAAAATGAGAGTCAAGATCAAACCCTCTGCCAAACAAAGCAACACAAAGGGACATTAAACATTTGTCAAAAAAAGAAATCTAGATGATCTCCAAGTTTAAAGTTCTCATTTGACATTAAACCTATCGGATATCCTGAGGCAATTATAAAAACCTCCAACAGTAGTATAACTATATTAGAACAATTCTGAGGAAAGTTGCCACAAGTGCTTCTTTTCAGCTGTTGCTAAGGTCAGCACAAAAATGGTGAATTGCTTTGACTCATTTAGATTTTTTTTTTTTTTGATTATCTAAAATATTTGTGTGTAAAAACAAACAAACAACAACAACAACAAAAAAAACAGGGTGAAACAGACGTATCTCTAATTGTGGAACATCTTCTATTCATTCTGAAAAAACAGTCAGTTTGTGGAGCAAGGAGGCAATAATAAGAGGGAAGCCAAAATGTTGTACAAACATATAAAGTCTTTATTACAACACTTTCTTCCACTCAAACTTTGGCCTTTTCCCCTGAAAATATCCACACAATCCCAAAAACAGTGGAAGTTATTCTCCTTTCTTCTTTGTCACAGCATAGAAATGATCTCTGAACAGAAGCAAACCTTAAACGACATCGTTCACAGTTTGGGGTATGCTTTAGGCATGGTGAAAACAAAGCATCAAGCTTAACAAGTTTTGGGATTTTGACTGCCTTTGTTTCTAAAAATACCCCTTAAGAAGGTACTATATAAACCCTGTTTCCACAGCATGTGTGTAAGAAAGATGATCAGTCACATCCACATATGTTTGGTCAAATAGATCCTTAATTCCAGTTCAACACAGGTTGAGAAACTTATAGACTGAAAGCCATAGTCCTAATAAAACTTTTAAAAAGCATTAGTGTGCAGAAATAACACCTGACAGACCACAGTAAACATCCAAATGCTCTTTTCTTGGAGAGGTACCATGAGGGCCCTGCAGTCAAAGGAGCACATATTTTTCACTCTGATAAGAATGACCACAGGTAATAACATAGAAACAAGTTCTGTTTACATGTCCAAACAAAAACAAACTAAATCATCCTGCTCATCATGATAGCTGAGATTCACAATATAGAAAAATTGCACTCACTGAGTGTCATAAACAACTTAAAGCTACAGTCGTACAAAAACAAAACACAGTATATCACATTAAACAATGCAGGAAACAGAACACTTTTTGAATGTGATGCAGTTTCTCCAGATGGTATTAAAAAGTCCTTTCCCAGAAAATACACCATATGGCAGAGAGTTTAATAACCCTGAAGGTAAGTTATCTTTTAATCTAAAATGAGTCACTTTAATTCTCACCAGCTTTCTGAGAGCCTATTTTTAAAATAATACTGTAATATCTGTGCTACTTATGTTTAAAATGAGACCATCATGGCTTAAAGGACTGATGTTGTCACTTAATGGATGAAAGCTGAATGGTCTGTCATAGATTTAATGTTTTATTGCTGTTCTTTTTTTTTATTTGCACAATTAGAAAGAAAGCTTTTATGTTAACGAGTACCTAAGTAGACTTTAAAATGTGTTTATTTGGAGGTTGGTTTGTTCATTATTTTTACAAAACTTGATGGACTGAATATTGAATTAAGCAACATAATTAACTGACAATAATGAAATGAAAAAAACTGTTCTCTAAAAAATCATAATTAAACAATTCAAATCTTATTTGGAAGCCTCCATCATGAGTAAATTCACTAATAAGCTGTCTCAATTAATAACTGAATTTATTTATTCTTTTTGTTGTGAAGTTTTTTATTTATACTGAGCTGAGTGATTAAATGACAAAACGCAGATTTATTTTTTAAAACTTACTTGATAAGGAATTTTGACATGGAGCAGTTGAAAGCGGAATACCTCACGACGTCTTAAAAAGGTTTCACATTCTGCCGGGTAACAACAATATGATCAAGGGACTTTTATGTGACAGAACAGCAAAAACAATGTGTCATGTGAGGTGGAAGGGAAACAATACATGTTTCTGACCCACATTTTATTCAGCTCATTTAGGTAAAAAAAACTTTTTAAACCACAACTCCAAGTACGACATGTAGTTTTGTGTGTCCAGTTTTAGGCCTCTATTGAATAGTTCTGGTCTTTGACTAAGGTTTAATATGCCAGTGGCTTTTAAAGTGGTTTAGATCCCTGTTGCCCTGCTGAGGTTAGCTGGGGACGACCCCCCAGGAGGGAGCAATAGGGTCTGCCTCAGGAAATTGCAGAAAAATAAACAAAAGTGCCAAAACTAAATATACATTTTCATTATTATGAAGAATATGTTTTAAATCATTATTATAAAAATATTGTAGACCATATATATATCAAATTAACCTATAAAAACTATGTGTTTTTTGATCAAGTTTCCTTGGTCTAACTATACCATGAAGGACCATCCCACTAAGGCAGATAGGGCACTGAAATGTCTTTTTCCCTTTTTAACAGCTACTTGTCTGAATCTGGCTTTTAAACTTTAGAGTACTCAAAACAAAACACAGGGCATGTTTACATTTGGACAACGATATGCATATGAAATAGATGAAGCTCAGGCCTCCCACACACACACACTTAGAAAGGTTTGATTGCTTTTGTTCTGTTCTCATCAACAAGTTCATTCACTTGGAATATAATACAGATTTGTACAAATAGATAATATTATATATGCTAAACGAACATCATTATAAATTAATAGGGAATAAAGATAATAAAAACAAAAATTTAAAATAAATTTTCTATACATATTTCGTGGCATTGTCTGTAAATTTACAAGTGGGATTCTCAGGCCAGGATATAATATTTGGAAGGGTGTAGAATGAAGTATGGGAACCACTGATCAAAACCCCTTTTTTAGCTCTGACTGAACATTTTTGATTGTGCGCCTGCTGAAAGCCAAGTTGTTTGCAGCTGACCCAGCTAAGGAGAAATATTGTCACAATATGATACTTGCACTGCTGTGTTTCCCTCTGTGGGTGGTGTATTCAGAGTGAGAGAAATGTTAATTGTTCTGTGTACATTTCTGATGCATATTAGCCAAAAAAAGTGATATTTTGATTTGATTAGAACACCTTCTTCACACAGCTTGTGGCAAACATGAATTATCTCTATTGGCTTTCTTTTCACCTCTGCCATGGATTTTGTATGTTTTTTTAATTGAACAACGAAGAGTTTCCATGTCAGCACATCCTCTGACTCCACCTTTGCATTACTGTACCCTTTCAAGAGGTACCGCGTTCTATTCCTTCCGCCTGTCGGTTTAAACCAGGGCTCTGCAACCACTGGTTCCAGTTTCCTGCTCTTGCTCTTTCCATTTGTGGATGGTTGATTGAATAGTTCTTCATGTAAACCCCTGCCTTGAACTTCTTCACCACTGGTTCCCTGATATATCTGCTGTTTTTATTTGTTCTAATGATGCTGTTTATTCTCCAACAGACCTTCTCAGAAAAGTTGGATTTATAACGGGGAAAAAAATCTAATTAAACTCTGGGGGTAAACTCAGTTTAAAAAAAAAATGTAATTAGGTTATTTTAGGCAGAGAAAAGAAGGACAGAAACTTATATCCATTTATACCCTTTTCCCTCCACTCCACAATCTATTTTCTAGGGTTATTGTGATAAATTATGTATAAATATTGTAGTTGTAACGCAAGGAAATGTCCAAAAGTTAAATAGGTATTTATAGTTTCGCAAGGCACCATCAACTCGTCACTATAAGCTGAAAAACATGGTTAAAACCTGCAGGGTCAAACTAACATCCATCTTAAACAAAAGTAGAAAAGGGAGAATTTCCTGAAACACTTTCATATCTGCAGTTTTGATCGACAGCAACAAAGATTTAATTGTCTGTAAATATGTGGTTGTTTTTTGCCTGTTCAATCTCAATAAACTCTGAAGTGTCCTCTGCAATTTGTCCAGGGATGCGAAAATCAATGGGAATGGGTTGTGCTATCTCAGTTGATTGGCACTGAGCAACAGGGCAGCAGGCCTCTCCCACTTTAGGACTTGAAGTGCTTTGAGAGTTTTGAGGATCCAGGTTACAGGCAGTGCCCTGAAGAAACTGAAGAAAATTCTCCTCTATGGAACCGTCACGGCTTGGCAGTCTGTCCTCCATTTCGACGCCTGTTCTGCGAAAGAGGCAAGGCAGATGCTTGCCTAGCTCATCACGGATCTGTCTGTTCAGGCAGCCGTAGAAGAAGGGGTTGGAAGTGAAGCAGAAGTAGCCGATCCAGGTCACCACCTCCTCCAGAGAGGCTAGCGCAGCGGGTGGACTGGCAGCTAGTGCTGAGTACAGGTGGAAAGTGAAGTAGGGCAACCAGCAGCAGAGGAACTGTCCACCTACAGCTGCCAAAACGGCCGCAGCTTTTCCTCCCCCAAAGGGTCGATGTGGAGTTGTTCTGTCCGTGCCAGTGCCTGTCCCAGAGCTGGTGACCATTGTAGACCTGCTGCTGAGCGACTCTGACCGCTGCCGTCGCGGCGTGTCCATCCAAGTGGGAAGCGGACCATGGTGCATGGCTGCCACCCGAGCAACTTTGAACATGTTGCAGTAAACAACCAGAATAACCAACAGCGGACAGAGGAAATACACCAGAGTGAACAGGACCATGAAGGCTAGGCGGTTTGACCCTCCTCCAGTCCAGTGAAGGGAGCAGCGCCTATGACCCTGAGCCGCAGGGGGAGGTGGAATGGCCCCTCCACCACCTCCCCCAACCCCGCCACTTTCCAAAAGAGGAGTCCTTCCACCTTGCAGGAACCAAGCAAGCAGTGGAAGAGCAGACATGGCCAGAGCTTTGACCCATATCCCCACCAATACTGAAGCCACCAGACCAACAGTCATCTTCACTTCATAACGCATGGGATGTATGATGTAGTAGTATCGCTCCACGTTGATGACGGAGATGGAGAGAATGGCAGCGCTGACTAGGCACACACTAAGAAAGACATAGCTCCGGCAAAGAGCCTCCCCAAAGAAGGCCCGGCTCGACAGCATGCCGAGGGGCATCAGCACCAGAGCTGCCATGAGGTCCACCATGCACAGGTGGAAGACAAAGGCAAACTTGTGGAGCTGTGGGGCCTTGGCGATCACAGCCATGACAGCCACATTGCCCACCACAGCCAGCAGATCCATTAGCAGCATTGCTAGCAGAGCTAGTGCCTGGGACAAGGCCCAGCCTTCAGGCAGAGATGAGGCAGACAGGTTGGATGTTGGCTGTGGAGACGTGTGGGAGGAGTTCCACGTTGGCTCCATTGAAGGGTAGGATGGGGTAGGTGGGTGCGGTCAGTTACAGGCCCATCACCCATCCTTTAAGGCCAGGGAGTGTGGTCAGAAAACCAGAGGTTTGAAAATTAGAGCAGATGTTATATTGTAGGTCCAGAGGATGATGCGAGGATCGTTGGAAGGTTCTGAAACTTTCTAGCTGCCCATCAGTCACATGCCGCACTAAAATTAGAATGGAAGAACACAAGAGAATGGCTGAGTCTCAACTTTAATGCACATTTTTCTATGTACTCAGTAGCTCAGTTAATAGAAGTTTATTCCACTTTTGCAGAGATTAAAAGCAACTAAACAGGCATTAAAAACAAACCAGAAAAGAGCTAAAACAATCACATAGAGGCAAGGTGCTGAACAAATCCACTCTATTAGGGATGAAAAGCTGTGAATTGGTAAACTCTAGAATCCTAAACCATAAATTTTAAGCATAAGAAATTATTACAATATTTTTGAAAACGAAATCTTAATAGTGAAAAAGAAATATTAAAATCAATGTTGAATTCCGTTACACAGTAAAATAAAGAGCAAAAACGGTATAAATCCACTTTGATTACAGAAGTCCTTTACAGGTAGTTTATGTTGTAGCCATATGCAGCTGACTTTTCTGTTTTGCATAAAAGACTAAGACTATAACTTTAAATTAATAAAAACAAAACTGAAACTAAACCTTTTCAAGAAATAAAAACTAAACTATAATAAGAAATACTAAAAACGATTTCAAACTAAAATGGCAAAGAAATTTTTAATCCCTCCAACATGATCCTGCCACCATTGTATTTCATGTTGGGGATGGTTTGTTGAGCACGAGTTTTGCATAATGGCAGAACTGTTTAGTTGTTGTCTGGCCTGATCAAATTTTTCATCTAAACATCCTGTTCCTCTAAAGGCCTGATTTAAACTGCATAGAGGACTTCGTACTGCTTCCTTTCAAAACTTTACAGATCTTGCAATCTTCCAATAAGTCTTCCAATAAGGCTTTTTTTCAGGGAAATATACATGTCATCATCCCCCTGTTAAGACATTTTCATTCCAGAGTTGTAGATCTATCTCCCAACCCTCCATAGGTCTTTCAGGCTCCCCCTTCCCAGCCTGTCAGTCTAGGTTGACAGTCAAGTCTTGATAGGTTTGAAGTTGTATCACACATTTATGTTTTTAGATTAAGAATTTAACAGTTCCATATGAGGTGGTAAGTATAAACCATCCCACAGCTCTATATCTGACCTGTCTGGTTATGTTCTGTAACAAATTTCTGAGGCCTTTTCAGAACACATGACTTTATACTTAAAGATATATATATATCACATTAATTCTATTTATTAATTCTGTGACTTCTGAAAGTCTGTTGGTATCCGAGTAAAAGGGCATATATGGAGTAAATATCCATGACAAATGTATTTGTATATATTTTTAATTTGGAAAAGAAAAGGTAATTTTTTTCCATTTCACAAAACTTACATAAAATACGAATTAAACAAACTATAGTTTGAGATTATAAATTTAAAAATGTGAAAAGTTTAAGAAACATGGATACTTGTGCAAGGCCTGGTTTCTAAAAAAAAAAGAAAAAAAAAAAAAGAAAGAAAATTCATTCTCAGCAGGAATATCTAGAAACCACTGCAAACATTTTGGTGCTAATCTTCTTGACATTGAATTTAAAACCAAATGGAAAACTTTATGGGGGAAAAAAAATTCATAAATCCAAGTTGGTCAAGCAGAACGTGGAGATGTATACAGTTTTTCAAGCATAAATCCTGTCAATGGATGATTGCAAGCTAATCCTGCAACCAAACAGTCAATAGCCTCCTTCCTTCATATCTACTCCTTTTCTGGTTGTATAACATAAAACTCACATAAATGACCACTTTCAATATAACACAGTAAGTAATTACAAATACTCCAGAAGCTTCTAGGTATGAATGTACTGATGATTCTCCTAATGTGATCAGAATAGGATGTTGGCCACTGTGGACACTTAATGTGACCATGTTCAGTGTAAAGCTTGCAGAGGATGTTTGCACAGACAGCAAACATACATGGTTGACTGCTACTCTCCTGATTTACATCCTCTCTGTTTAGGATGTAGCTAAATACTGCGATTCTGGGGGTCCTTTCTGCACAGCACAACAAATCTGGGTGAAGGAACCAGCCCTAACCTGTGCTATAAGCTCTGATTCACTGTCCTCCCAGAGCATCATCTGTATATCACACACAGAGCTACTCCCAGTTTAGCTGAGCCCTCTTACCTGATGTGACTGGTCTCACCGGTTACTCATTTCTATGGTAATCAATAATGTTAGAAATAGAGCATAATGAATTAGGGGCTGTCTTATTTAAATATATTTTAATATCAAAGGTTGCTTAATGAATGAATAACTGTCTAATTAGCTGGTAGGATGGAAAGGGAGGAAGCATGGGGGAGAATACTTGAAAAAATCAGAGACAGCAACAAGAACGGAGCAGGAAAGAGAGCACTGTGTACCTGAACCAGAATATTTCCCTGATGCAGCTGCCTGCTGCTGCTGCTGCTGCTGCTGCCTCTGTCTTTGAGGATGGAAATGACTTTGCTCCCATGGCTGAGCTTCATGCTGGAATTCAAACACTGTACCTTGCGAATGCTGCTGAGGCACTTCCCATCGTGTAGAGCAGTCTCTCTTCCCATCCCTTCATCTGCCTTGAGCATCCTGCTCTCTGGATGACTGCAAGGCTGTGGTGGCAGGGATTCTTCTGAAACGTAGCTGATGTAAATGCTCACAGAGAAGACACCAGCTCCCTCTCTCTCCTCCACTCTCTGATTTCCCCCCACCTCTCACACACAGTGACCACAGAGATGGAGCAGGAGGCTCTGAGAAACAGAGCCGGAGATGCTGCCTCCACTGGGTCCTAGTGTCCTTAGCATTGTTGCAGATTCAACCAACAAAAATGGAGCATGAATAAAAAAAAATACAGAAATGTAGTTAAATATAGCATGATATGAGGAAAGAGGAGCCTTCTGAGGAGCCTAGAAGATGTTTAACAATAATCGATCCCTAGATGAAATAACAAAAGAAACAAAAATCTAACGTTCTACACAGAGTTCTGCTATAAAATGCAAAATATATGTTTAATAGAAATCAAGAAGGCAAGGAAGTAATTTGTAGGAAAGTTATGAGCACCCCCCCCCCCCAAAACAAAATTAAAGCCTGCTTTTAATTTTTCCTATATTGTATTATTTAATTCATGTAAAGCACTTTAAATTGTCCATGTACTGAAGCATCCTATACAAAATTGTCTTGACCTGCCTAGAAGTGCATGTGAAAAAGTATGCATTAACTCCCAAATGATGTTCCATTTCATATTTATAACTAAACTATATTTTCTATTGAATTCTCTATAATCACTATAAGTCACACTTAACTTGGGGAGTCAAATTAAAACAAGAAAAAAACAATAGTGATCTGCACAAACTCCACAACTTCACAACGCCGCTTAAAGGCAGAAACTGATTTTACCCATTATGGATGAGTCCTGGATGGTTTTTTAGTCCAGGGGTCTCATGTATAAAATTTCTCTATGCACAAAAATGGGCCTGTTAATTTGCTGATGCCAACTTCCATGCAAGTGTTGTGATCTGTCCTAACACATCTGCTCAATTAAAACATAATTCTCTATATCTAATTTGAATTAGGCTCTCTAATTGTGCTTCTGTGTGAGTCTTTCAGGTTGAAATTGCAGTTGCAAACCCCTCTGTGGTTCCTGTGTGCTTTTACCAGCACAAATTGGTGTTCAGCTTAACCAAAAATTAATTGATTCTCTGCCTAAAGCCGCTTTTAGGAAGTTAATAATTTTATGAATTTATCTATAAATCTGGGATGTTGCAGTCAGCATTAAGCACAATCCTGCCTGGATGTCCTGGTCATCATACTCTAAAGGCACCATTGATAATAGCTCCTTTTATTTACTGTGGCTAACCAGTATATATTTATCAAACTTAACACATTGGTTAAAAGATTTATTTATACATGGTTTTATAAATCACGTTTCTTTGGCATACTCCGTTTTTGGGTGTTTGGTGTACATCATTTTTTAGTATAGATTCCATGCATTTTTTTTTTTCATAAATGAGATCATTATACTAACTTTTTTTTAGAAAAAGAAATAATTAAGTAAAATAAAAAAGTGGATTGAGCACTTTAACCTTTCACCAGGTATGGACAATCAACTCTGATACCATTAAAAACAAACACAGCGGAAAAAGCTAAATAAATCACCACACAATTACAGTAAATGCACAAAAAATACAAATAAATAAATGTAGGCAAAAATGTTTATTGAAACAGTTGGTATTATGGGCAGACAGACAGGCAGCAGGCTTGAGGAATCAGATGAATGCAGAACCCACTGAAGACATGCTGAATGGGCTGATTGCAAACCTAAAGATTCAAAATGACCAAACCAAGTGGCAGGCTGTAAGTAGACTAGATGAAGGTAGAAACAATCCAGAAAGGGACCAGAGCATGATGAGAAGTAAGCACAGATCGAATACAGTAAGGTAGGAAGGCTGGCAGTGCACACATGGAGGAGACATTCTGGCGAGAAATGACTGAGAGAGTCAGGTGTAAATAGGCTGAGTAACTGCAGGGAGGAATGAAGGTATTTAGGAGAGTGGCAGGTGCATCTGCTCACTCTTAATGGCACAGCAGGACTAGGTAGGGTACAGAACAAAGAGGGAGGATTTATGACCAGAAATTATAATCTAAAAATTTTTTAAGACATACATGTATGTATGTATAATGTATAACTCTTTTTGTAGGCTTCATTATTTGTTTCAGATTTTTAGTAATTATCATATTTGATTCTTATCATATAATTTTCCAACTTGATTTATTTAGGTTAATCATAAACAAGTCAAAGCAAAGGTTTTTCAAGATTATAACTGTGTTAAAGCTTTTATTTATTTATTCGTTTATGTTTTTGCATTATGTGACCGCATTTGTATTTTTTTATCTTTATCTTTATTCCTAGAAGATTTTGTTTTGCTTTATTTTAACATAAACATTACGGTCCTTGAGGGCCCCTTGGTGCAATTACTATTTCATGAATGATGCTTTTTTACAATCAACTGATTTAAGAAAGCCATTATTCGATTTGCAGAAAGAAAAAGTTTGACTTTCAAAGATGGACACTTCAAAAATCAGTGGAAATGAATTCTAAGCTTGTTTGATTCTACTGGGAATTAGCTAATTAAGATTATAACATTAACATGATAAAAATGAGCTACTGCTTCCACCTATACCCGTTATCCAAGCGGTGACCATGAGCAGGAAAGAGCAGTAGTGCTAGTGTTCCATGCTGATCCAAGTTTTTAGCTCTTTATTTTAAAATAAAGTCGTCTGTTTTAGTATAAATATTTGAAAAAGATTTGGGATTTTAGAAAAAGAATAATCCTCATTGTATGATTGTAATACTGTATCTACAGTATGATGGACTGGCATGCTCTAAAGGCTTTACCTTGGTTCCTTGGTTCCCTATCAGTCCTTTTAGGACAAGTGGCAATAGACATGGATAATTGTTTTATCAATATAGTTACAATCTAATGCTATTAGTTCAGTCTTTTATTCATGTTTAAGATTTTTTTGGTCAAAAATACTACATTTTAAACATGACAGCCTATATGTTCTTCTAATATATATAGATTAGAATTAGAATCAGATTTATTGCCAAGTAGGTTTGCACTTACAAGGAATTTTACTTGGTGTTGATGGTGAAGACAAATTATATATATATACAGAATACATAATCTGTTGCTATACATAATATAAAAAACACAATATACTATATACAATGTGTAGTATATAGCCATATACTGTAGACTGTGCGTTAATGTAATGTAGAACGACTGGAGATGCTCTCAAAGTCTAGCTTCTAGATAACCACTTATGTGTGATTGCTTTAAGGCTCAGGTAATTAAACCTGTTTGTGTCTCCATCAGATTTGGGCTTAAATTCTGCTGCTACTGGTGATGCCCTTAAGAGGGGCCCCAAATTAATGATCTTTTACAGTAGGACTTTGGACCAGACCCAATTACAACCTCTCAGAGCTCGTGACATGCTTCTTTGTGTTGTCGTTTTGTGATTTAAATGCTTTGTTATACAATTTCAGGCAAATATATACCCAATTTTGCACTATTTTTCTGGATTGCAAACGCTATCAGTAATTGTTTACATAAATTCCACAGATTTTAACTTTCAGTGGAAGGTTTGCAGAGAAGCATTGATATGAACAGACTTCAACCTCTGGACTCAAATAGGGACTCCTGTTGCTACAGTGATCTCTTTCACATACGGTGAAACTCATCCCTTCGTCTGTAAAGAACAATGAAATCTGGTTTATTATGGATAAGGCTACTCTACAGAAGGAGTGGGCATGAAGCCCCTGAGTCCTGGGTGTTTCTCATTTGCATTTGCAAGGTCCCCCGCAGAAACATGCAAAACATTTGCATCTCTTGGAAACCACATCTTGCATCTCTTTCATTATTGAAGAGCATGTTTTAATTCATTTGGCCTTAATGCATTGATCTAATATTTTTTAATGAATGATATTAGGTCCCAAAAGGAATTGTTTATATTTTGTGTAAAATAATTTGCACCTTCTGCTCAATGTAACAAGAATTGTATGTGATGACATCATCTGGCTCAATAAATCAGTAAATCAAACTGACTGTTTGGCAGCAGCCCTCTGTGGGTAATTTTGAGTATATCTTATCCTCAATATGGAGCTTTCTGAATATGTTGTTTGGATACACAGAATTTAGGTGTGACCCTCAGTGTAAAATAAAAAAAAAAAATCAAAAATATAAAAACATTTTTAAACAAATTTCTATCAAATTATTGCTTTTGTTTAAAAAAATGTATTAAGTTATTCTTACTGGCTTATAAAATAGTTTAACATGTTGATTGCTACTGTACTTATTTGTTGTTATCTGCATTTCAACCTCCTATGATATTATATGTGTTCTTCTAACATATCTAGACAAATGGTAATCTAATGTGAAGTCTAACATTAATGAGAATTTCAGATGGTTATTTTGATTGGCTCCCCCAAGACAACTCCAAATGATGGATCATTTAATGAAATATAAAGTAAATTAGACAGAAAATTTATATAAATACAAGGAAAGTTCTCAGTGCAAAATTGTAAACAAAGAAAAAAAAAAGCAAATATGTACTTTAAGTAAAATTGAATTACTTACTTTTTTGTTTTCTTCTAGTTCCATTTTATAAAGAGAGATATTGGCCTTAAACTGTAAATTTAGCTTAAATTTAACTAGAATAAATTAGAGGAGAAATTAAAGTCTTAAAAATTCATTAACTTATTTTGCACCAACAATGGCTTACATGGTGAAATAGTAAATGGCTTTTACTTACATAGCAGATTATTTTGCTTCTTTGTTTCATATTCATAAACATTAGCTCTGCAAATTAGTACAGTATCTGACTTAAAACACTTAATATAATAAAATAATTAGAATTTGGAAACTCCTGTATGCACTTTTTCTCAAAATGGCTGAAATCAGACACGTTTTTTTTTTTTTTTTTTTTTTTACAAAAGGTTAAACATTTGACTATTATAGGAGATAACACCTTGTCAAGATCTAAAGAGCTGTCTGGGTGCTCAGAAAGAGGACTTCAGGACTGTATTCGGTGAGGTCTCAGACGAACATCAGATCAGCCATTACTGTCTTTGGGAAATGATTTACAAGCAGAGAGAAAAAAATGTGACAAATAGCCAACCTCCAACAAGCTTTTTCTACTGT